TAGTTACACAAATGGCAACAGAGATCTTATTTCCACAAAATCACTGCCACAGTGAGATTGACTCAGACCACTTAACAACCAGACTGAAAAATTCGAAGCACAGTTTGGGACAGCAGTTCCTAAATAACTCTATCCGTGGCGCAAGTGTAATCATCTTCTGATAATACAAAGACTCCGCTATTACTTTAATAGTAATAGAATATTTAATAGTTTCATAGAACTATTTACAGTAGTTCATCACAACGAACTATTCACAACAGTTCATGCCCACCTGACTATATCGTTAGTCGTTACGGTCATTGGTGAACGTTCCAGCAACCTGGCTATGACAAGAATGCGAGGACTTCATACAATTCTCCTCAAGTACGCCAATACGCTGTTTACGCCTAGTATCGCTGGAAAACCGTTAATAGTGCGCCAGATTTCAGCCATGGTCAAATGCTCCCAGTGATATCATTTGTTAAGTGCAGAGGACATTGAAAGTCTCTAGCCGCACCCTTCTCTTTCGCTCTTCCTGCAAAAAAAAAAAACTGATAAAAAACGAAGCAGTGGCAATTGTGTACTCACATGAGCCAAGATTATTATTGTGTCTGGTACATTAACGGGTGTGGGAACTATCGCGTTACGAAATATGCTTTGAGGGGACCGAGCCCTCCAACATTTGAAGAAAATTACCACTAGGCTTGCAGCGATGCATGGATAGAATCAACCCGAGTCCCACCAATCCTGGAAAAACTCACTCGCTTCTGGGTAAAATCTCTCCAAACGAGCACCAGAAACACCTGAATAACTAATTTGGTGCCAATTGGAGTCGTGTTGTTTTACATACGCAAACATGCATCTTACACGCAGGGATATCTGGAGAAAGGCGCTGGTATCACTCTATTTCTCCAGTCACTACATCGATAGGTAAAGAAATGGACAGTAAATTGAGAACACTTTAATTCCTAGCATCTCCACCAATATACAAGCATACACGCACGCACACACACACACACACCCACACACACACCACACACACACACCCACACACACAACACCACACACACACCCACACACACACACACACACCACACACATATATATATTATATATATATATATATATATATATATTACATATATGCATATATTTATATACTAATGCACATATGATTTGTGCTTAACATCAGCCCATGTGGCATGTGGCATCATATATTATCAAATCATTACACAACAATCAATTGGTGATGCATGTTTGTTACGTATGTTCACAAAGAGCAAAATGGCGTCTGTCGTGCGACCTCTCAAGCTAAGACGGTGCAGCTCTCTTAAAACCTAAGGCGTGAGCAAGAAAATGTGTAGGCAAGCTCCACTTTGCAGCATCTTTATAACAACTGCAGGTCCAAATCTCCCCTTTAGGTTTCGGCAGTGTTTCCCGTGACGAGCACGGCGCCTTTGGGGGTGCTTGCCTCCGACGACTTGAACTGCATCATCACGATGATGTAAGTCAGGATGGTGGACGACACACTGAGCAGGGTGGACCGCTGCAGTCGGGACAGTCCCACGTGCCCCAGGCTGTCCAGGTCGCGTTGGACCATTCCTCGGACCAGGAACACCTCTTCGCCGAGTTCCGGCCTCTCCCAATGGATCTGTAGCAGCAGGTCGTTACTCTCTCCGACCAGATTCAGCATGCGCTGGTTGGTTTCGCACGGCCCCACCAGCGCGATGGCGGCATAGAACAGGTGCACGGAAAATAGGCCGAGCATTTCGGTAGTCGCGCCCTCACTTATCATGAGTATAAGGCTCAGAACAAGTGTTATTTCGGAGACGATACCTTGCATCATATTTATGATCAGCTCGGCGCTCATGCAGTCTACAAGACCGTGCAAATTTTGAGAGAGACGCGCGCGAAGGGCAGCAATGCGCCGCAGCTGGGCGCAATTCGCCTGGTAACTACCAGCGGCTATGGCTTTGAGTTCGGCATTCACGGCTTTCAAGCCAGTGGCCATCAGATCGCCGGAAAACATGAATTTAAGGGGAACCAGCAGGGCGCCACAGTTGTGTAGGGCAAAGGCGACATCAGTGCTACCAGATCGATGCAGGGCATGGGTCCCGTGGGGCAGACTTGGACAGCGCCGGTGGCGGCGGCGATAGCAGCCAGTGAGCCGACGGCCACCAAACCGTCTACAAGCCAAAGCACGACTGCCCGGCGGTTTCGCCCACGGGCGTGCGTGCTAAGCCATGGGAACGTGCCCACTTCATCCAGAGTCGAACTTATCTGCGCAAGAAGGTCTGCGAAGCGTCGCCGACCCCACACAATGGCGACGGCCAACGACATCCACTGGAGAGCGATGGCTATTCCGAAACCGTTGGTTTTGACCATTACTGTAACAAATGACGCGCCGTCACGCAGGCTTGTTGAGCCCACCTGTGCCTTGATTATGACGAACGTGATCCAAGTCATCAGACTGCAAACGAGGGTGGCGTACAACAGCGGCATCCAGCCTGGTCCTCCGGACAAGCCGGCTACCTCTAGGAGGCGGACGAAGGCTCGCGCGGCTCCAGCCACCGAGCGCTGGCGTCGGGTCACCTCCCCGTCGCCGGCGGGGTCCCCCGGCCGGACCGCAGGTGCGGCGGCTGGCTTCCACGCGGACCGGACCGTGGCGGTGGTCTTCTCCGGCCGACGACACACGGGGCGGAACCGACCCTGAACGTCGCCGTGTCGGCTCCGGCTGCTTCCCGTCCCGGCGGTCGCAACACGCAGCGGACGCTCCGCCGCAGCCGGCCTCGGACGTCAGCTGCCTCGACTTGAGGTCACGGAGTCAGCTGCAGCGACCTGAGTTTGTGGTCGTCAGCTGTCCGACCTGAGGTCACGGTCGTCCGCTGCCTCGACCAGATGTCACGGAGTCAGCTACCTCGACCTAAGGTCACGGAGTCAGCTTCATCCACCTAGGGTCCCGGACATCCGCTGTCTTGACCTGATGTCGCGTCCCACACCGCGCGGCGTCCGTGCCCCGGGGGGTGCGGCCCGGCGCTGAACCCTGCCCGTCCCGCCAGATGGTGCGGCCAGACGCCAAACCCTGCCCGTCCCGCCAGATGGTGCGGCCAGGCGCCAAACCCCGCCCGTTCTGCCAGACGGTGCGACTGATACCGGCAGCCGCGCGACGCGACGCTCGGTGGAGCGATAACGCTGCTTGCAATCATCGCATCACATCGCGAGCGGTCAACACAACTGGCGTCGAAGCGAGCGAATGGTGTGTGTGCTGGGTCCACTCGGCGGCGTCCCGCCCACCTTTAGATGTTTGCAGTCATTGCGCCGTCGCTGAGCGCGGCCGATGAACAAACAGGCTGCGAATCGACACGGTGGCTTCTTTCACTCCGAGTGGACCGGTGTCATTTATGAAAGCGCATTGGGGTCGAATGGATGTGTACTCTTTTCAGCACATAACACTTGAGGCAGCTTCAGACCACAGCCCGGTATCCGTGTTGCCACCTCACTGCCATGGTTGGCTGTAGACATTTCCGCTTCTTTCCATTTGCTATTGCTGTATGACTAGAACGCTACCCCCCCCCCCCCCCCCTCCCCTCACACAGTGGTGTAATGTGTCCTTGTTTGCGCAGTGTTTTTTGACGCAAGAATGCGACAGATCCGTTTGCGAACGCTATCACACTAATTCCTTAGCCACCTGGCAAACCTCATATCGAGCAATGTTCTTTGGCTGCCGACATTGCTTTTCATTAAAAAAAATACTTTTATCATTTGTGACCAAATATTTGTATAAAATGGATTTCTAAGAGCGTAGCCCGCGCCAGAACTTGCTTGCTGTGTGCATGGATGTAAGAACAGGCGGGCCAGGGGGGTCATGGCCCCCACTTTTCAAGGTGGGGTGGGGGGGGGAGGTGGGGGCAGCAATGTTAGCTGCCCGCCCCCCCCCCCCACACTTTTCAGATTAAGGTTGTGTTCAGCCTACTTTTGCGCTAAACTCAGCACGCATGTCGATTTACCCA